AGCGCACAAAAACGCTGTTTGCACGTGTGGCCGGCCCGGACTGCGGGTGTGCGCACGGGCGAGTGTGTAAGTGTGCGCGCGCGCGAGTGTGTCTGTGTATGCTTTCTTGTTCTTTTTACAGGGTACAATGTTAAAAAGCCACCGCTAGTCGCCCCCAGTGCTCCGACTCTCTGGGTCTTTTTGTCTCTAGTGCAGATTAAACGTCACGTCCGCACTTGAACTTGAATTTTATCCCATTGTACAGAGGCAGCCCCAGCCATAGAGAGACCGAGAGCTCCCAGAGAACCCGGACTCCGCCATCTTCACGTTGCAATCTATAGCTCCCAGTCCGCGCCGCACCGACCCAGGCGCTCTGGGCGAGCCGCCCCTCAGCCCAGCTCCCCCCGGGCCCGCGGCGCCAGGGGAGCGCTGGGGAGCGCTCGCGGGGACCCGGCAGCTTCTCCGGCCGGCACCAGCCTGCCAGGTGAACTGGGAAGGAGCCGCTCCTGGAGTCCCCCCAGAGCCTCGGAAGGGTCAGTCTCCGAGGAAAAAGCAGGCAGCCCGCAGAAAACCCAGAAACAACCGAGCCGGGGCAGTTTTACAGTGCTTGGGTTTTTTGAGGGGGCGGGGTGAAGGGGGTACGAGACAAGTCCCCAAGTTTTCTTTGCGTTTTTTTCTTCTTTTATTTTTTTTATTTGTTTGCATTTTTCCTCCCCCCCTTCCTGATTGAAGTGCGCGTTCCACCTACCAGACCCCGAAAGAAAGTGTCAGAAGCCGGTGCAAAATCCAGTTTAAGTTCGAGAAGACATTTGGAAGTCCAGGAGGCCAAGCTGTCTGAAGAAGTGTACGCGCTGTTTTTCCTTCAGAAGAATATATTTTTACAGACACCAGCCAGTCCGCGGAAGCAGCAGCAGATTTTTTTGCCTCTTTCTCCGATTTTAGCACGAGAGCTTTTTCCGTTTTTCTCCTCTTTCTTTTTGCAAACAAAACAAAACACAGCATAGAAGAAAAAGCAAAATAAAGAAGAAGAGGAGGAAGAGAGGGCAAGAGAGGAAGGGGAAAAAAAACCCAACAAAACGCCGGCCCAGGCACCGAGGCGCGGCGGCGGCGGCGGCGGCAGCGGCGCGGCGGCGGCTCGGACCCCCTCCCCCGGCTCCCCAGCAGTGCAGCTCTCCGGGCGATGCCAGAATAGATGCCGGGGCAATGTCCCGCCGCAAACAGGGCAACCCGCAGCACTTGTCCCAGAGGGAGCTCATCACCCGTAAGTGTCCGCGGCGTGCGCGCGAGGGGCCGAGGTCGGGGCTCCGGCGCCCGGCGCTGGGGACGCCGAGGGC